GATAATACTGAGTGCAAGTTAAGTCTGGTGCAAGGGTTTGAAGTACAAAAATAGCATGTGAAGACTTTTTGATATGAGATTAATTATGTTTTTGAATATTTTCTAAATGATAACGAGTTAGAAAATCTCCCATAAAATTAAAATATTTTTAAAGAAGATTAGTAGTAACAAAATGATAAAATGATAAGAAAGTTAAATAAATAAATAAAAGAAATAAAATAAATCGAAAGGGTTGCTAGCAAATGAAGTAAAAAAGAAAATTCACAAATAAAATAAAATAAAATAACTCGAGTAAAATAACAAATAAAACAAAATTCCAAAAATTTAAACAAAATACAAGTATGGCTGGCAAGAAAGTTAGTAGTGGTGGAGGTGAAAGCATAAACTCTGTGACAATACAATTCCAAATACAATTTAATAAAATACAATACTAGTTAAGTTAGTAGAGGGTATATCAAAAATAATAATTCCAAGAATGCTTTTTCAATAGCTTCTGCTGGTTCAAAAGAGTTAAAAATAGTTTCTGCAAGAAAGTTTCCTTCCAAAAAGAGAAAGAAAGAGAGGTTTGATTCCAAGGGAGGGTAAATTTTGTTTTTCACAAAATTTTATATTTCCACCAGAAGGCACCAAAATATTACAAGGCTGTAGCCTTCTTAGTAAAATACAACCAAGTAACAAGGTCACTCAGTACAATGATTGACTATTGCAAATATATACGGGGTAGAGGTATAGTTGTTCACTTAATTACACAGCAGCAGGCAAACGGTTTGAGATAGTAACAGTATATAGAATAACTTTATTTAATACAAGAATAGTGATAAGCCTTGCCTGTAGAAATTACTCTAGAGGAGGTGTATCACACTTTACAAGATAAGAAAGATTAAAGGTGATCAGAGTCTAATTGAAGTGTAGGAACTTAAGATCTGGCAGGAAGGAGAAAAGGCACTCTTTATATATCTTTTCTATCCAAGGCAAAGATACACGACACACAGTAAAGAAGTAATACTTGGTAGAGAAGTTGGAGGATCGTACTAGAGGGAGTTGGGGGATTGTGTTGGGGGAAGTTAAGGAAATATAAACATTACTCATTTTGCTTATATTTTATTTATTGTTTGTAAGAAGGAGCTTGGAGAAGGGGAATCTAGGAGATCCTGCGATATAGTACTAGGCTTGTGACATGATAATTTGTATTCGAAATACTTAAGTTCGTGTAGAAGAATCTGGGGATTTTGTGTAGAGGTACTTGGAGAAAATTGTATTACTTTCTTGTATTACCTTTTTGTATAATCTAAAGTACTTCTTTGTATAACCTTGTGTTATTTCAGGTCACGTGGGTCATGTGACTGCGTCACACATCTTTTTAGCCAATCAAATTATTCTTATACAACGACTATAAAATTACTATCTAATATATATAATATAATATATAATATAATATGTTAATAATATATTAAATATAACTAATAATAAACTAACTAATAATACATTTATAATGAATAATACTAAGTAAATAAAGATTAAAATTTCTATGTTAAAATGCTATAAAAATCTACTTGATAATAATATAAATAATAATAATTTCCTAATCTATTGGAATTAGCAAAAATAAAGTTTCTGCTTATTCACATATAGATCAAAATATTATTTATTAACTATAATCTTGGCATAATGATCGAGAGAATCACACCCAAAGTAATCTCATCCTAATCTTAAATATTTTTTCAGAGTTACAGATTAACTTCCCAAAATCAATTTTACTGAAATACCATTTCACCGAAGTTATAGTACTGACATCTCATTTTATTAACAAGATATAATTCTGAAAGTCTTATTTTACCGAAATATTATTTAATTGATAATAAATTTTACTGATAAGTTATTTATTTGCCACTGAATATTAAAAAGATAAATGTTTGTTTTACTGATATGCTAATATAATGAAAAAGTCTGTCGAATAAAATTTTTCAGAAATTCAGACTGTTGAAAAATAAAAATTCAGTAATTTCTATCAGTAAAATACAGTTAGACCCCTAAATGCTACCTCTCTAAGTACATATTCTATAAAGCACCTCTCTAAATGCACATTTTCTCTTGGGCTCAACTAATATTACCTTTATAGATTTTTATCTCCCTAAATGCAATATCTCTCTAAGTACATGTTTGACTAAATTTTTGTATATAGTTCCATCGCATTGTATTTAGAGAGGTCTGACTGTATACTGTTAGAAATATATCTTGTCAGGAAAAAGGATTATATAGTTGTGAAAATGATATTTGAAAAAGGTAGATTTCAGAAAAGTGAAGATCAACTAAGATTACCCCAGATACTATTAGAAAATTACTACTGGCTAAATTTTAATTATAATTTATTATCAACTAATTTTTTTAAATCTAGGCCTTGATTGAGATGCAAGTGTTTGGTCTGGTGATATACAGAAAAAAAGGCCAGTTTTATCTGCATTAAATATATTATTTAAGGTATATTTTTTGATTAATTCATGTAATTTTTGTCTATATTCTGGAAGGAAAGACAATAGTGCACTTTTTGCTTCCCCATGTAGCCAAAAACTCCTAAGATTATTATGGTATTTAAATTTATGAATCTATCTATTTGAAAATTTCAAAGCATCATCTTCTAAATTCAAAGCTTTTGTGAAATCAGCAGCTTTTTCTTTAATCATTAATTCTGTTACAATCATATCACTGTTAGTAACTTGTTCAATCTAGAGGCTTATCACTTGATCCAATAAAAGATATTTTACAGATTTATGCCGAAAAATTGTAGAACTTAATTGATTATTCATGATGGCTAACTATTTTGATTTATCTTTTAAAATTTTAGATATTGTAGTTCGATCTAAGTTTAAACTAGAATCTTTGGAATTGAAGTGTTTAGCAATATCTGCTTGTTTTTCATTAGGATTTTTTTGACTATACTCACATATTTCATGTTTTAAAGATTCACTAATAGCTGTTCTTGGTCTTTTTAATAGCAAATTGTTAGACATATTGTGAGTAGGACTAAATATAATCATTTAGCAAATTAAAAAGCATCTGAACTTAATAGCACTTTATTAAACGGATGGTTTTATATTTAAAGTAAAATAATTTATCATGTTTACAAATTTTTTATATTTAGCATTATCTATATACAGTATATAAGGTAAGACTCTTTCAAAAGACATAGTATTACTTTACTGACACTCAATTTAAAAGTGCCTGGTTTCTAACACAGTTTTACTTTCTGTAGTTAAATCTTATTATCATTATGCAATAAGCATCTTACTAATTTATGCAGGGTGATTTAGATCCTTGAATCTCGAATTCACACGATACATGCAGGAAAATAAGCTTCAGGTTTAATATCTAATTTTGCAGGTTTTTGCTTATAATGGTAAAAATGATTATCATTTACCTAATTAAAATCAATTGACAAATATATGTAGAACACAATTAATTCTTTAATAGTGGTAAGGATAGTCATCTAAAATTAATAAAACTTGTACTATGAGAATCTAATAGATCATAATAATTACCTATTTACAAACTAGAAAATCTGATGGACTTTCAGATTTTTGAATCATTGATATTTCGAAGCTATAATTTTATATTCAAAGTATACCAGATTCAATAAAATTTTAACTAGCATCATTTATATAATCAAAATTACATAAGATTTGGTTTTGAAAAAGTGGCGATCTACTAACACACAACATTCACATGACTTACCCTTACCTTTTTTACCGACATAGCAATTTATATTTCATTTTTATTTTTCATATACAATCTAATTAATTTCTTGTAGCATAATAACTAATTTATATGTATTAACTTTTGCTATACCAATAAGGAAGATAAATCATGTGTATATAGTAAATAGCAGCCATTAATTAATATTCTTTAATGCTAAGTATACATTTATGTAGCCTAATATGACATGCTGTTTTACTATAGTGTTACTATTGGTTGGGAGAGTAATTGCGGATATTAATCCAATTTAGCTCTAATAGTTAACTTGGTTTAAGATTTATAACTCTTGTACACATAATATAATATCATGAAACTCTTAAACTAAGTCAGGATTATTATTTAAACAAAACAAACTTTAATTATCAAGATAATTTATTATGTAACGATAAAATAAGAAATGCAAGAGAATAGAAATACAATAATAAAAAAATAAAACTAAACTAATAAAATAATATATAACTTTAATATATGTGAGAATCTAATTCTTATTATAAACTCTATAACTAAGATATTAAGGATTACTGTGCTATCTTTAAATCCTAATCTTCTAAGTTCTCTTTGTACTATCAACACTGTGAAGTAGCATTGTGTGCAGGCAGCAAACAATTGTCTACAGCTTTGGTTAATAACAATTGTTGCTACGTATGCTAACAATAAGGAGCCAACAATTTTGGGTTTATCTTTTATTATATTTATTATATATTAGATAAACAACCATTCACCAGAGTTAGTCTATGTTATTAAGCCTCTATTGCCATCTAGGAGCCTCATAATATTCTTGTAGCTCAAGTCATTCGGGCTTTTAGTATTATTAAGTCATATCAAAGTCACAGATTTAAAATTTAAACTATGACAATAGCATATATTTCTATTGTACATATATATGTATATAGGTGAATTTTCGAACTTTAATAAATTCGAAATCTACTTAGATCAATTTTAAGTAAATTTAAATTTTAAACTAACTTTTATAAAACAAGATTTTTATTTCAAATATGACTATATAAAGGAGATTTTATTATTAAAAAATCTATAAAAATAAATAAAAATGTGATAGTGATTATAAGTTCAATGTGATTATATAGAAGGCTATTTAATAATAAAAAATATTGTATATTAAATGATGTGATTATATAGAGTTTGTGATTATATAGAAGGTAATTATATGGGAGAACGACTATATATCTTTTTTTAAATAAAAAGATATATAAAAGATGTTTTTTTCTTTTCTGCCAACTCTTAAGTTTTTACAACTTCACTTAGACTCTGTTCTCTTTATACTCTTCTTATCTTATAAATATGATATTTCTCTTTTAAAGTAATTTCTACAGACAAGATTATTACTGTATTTTTGTATGAATTAGATTATTCTATATACTGCTATTATTTTGAACTATTTGTCTTCTGCTATGTAGTTAAGTAAACAACTACACTTTTACTTTGTATATATTTGCTAAAGTTAATTACTGTACTAGATAACCTTGTTGTATAGCTATATTGGTTTAAGAAGACAATAGTTTTATAACAATATAAATAATTTATATAATTATATTAATTAAAAATCTGCTAGTTAATCAAAGAATTTTATAGATAAAATATGATACAGATCAAATATAAACAAGTTTCAAATTGAAGTTTTTAGTTTATAATTAAACTCATGAACTTTTAAATACATATAGTACTTAAATAACACAAATGATAGAATAAAACCATAGATGCAGAGAATTTAAATAAATAATCCTCTAGTTAATTTATAAATATGGTATCTAGTATAGAAATTTAGTAATAAGCGAACTATTTAAATAGGCAATCAAAAGTTATACATATAGCTAGTATGTACTCTCCAAATATGTATACTATATAGGCTCTAATAGAAGCTTAGTATATAGTAAAGTTAACTAATAACTGAATAAAAGAAGACGAACAAGAGATTACCCTAACATCAAAAAAAAAGATAGAATGAAACCAAAAGTCTCTAATAATGAAATCATTAAGTATTGATCTCTTTTTTTAACAGACTTTACTTTGTAAATATATAATATTTATTATATTTAACCTTATATTAATTAATTAATTATATATTATAATTAGAGTACAGATGAGCTAGATTAGGTTAGATTTATTTAAATTTAACTTGAGTCTATTTAATCCAATCTGAGCTCAAATTTAATAAAAAATTTTATAACAGGTCAGGCCTAGATCAGGTCAGATTAATCCAAACCCAATCTAATTCAACTGACCCAATTATAATTAACAATAATTCACAATATAGTGTAATATCATGTTATCTTAGAATATTATATAAACAATTGCTTGCTTATTCTATTTAATTAATCCTATATACTATAAAAGACTGAACTATCTCAATACTATTTTTTACTACTATTATCATAATTTCTAAAACATCTGATAAAATTATCCAAATAAATTTTTGGTTGATTTGATTAAGTTTGTAATTTTGGTATAATAAAATCACAAAATTGTATATATGTGTATATATTGTAAAAATGTAGATTCAGAATCATTAATATAATTTAAATCACAACAAAGACTAGATTACTTGAAAGAAGATATGAAAGATTTGATCTGAGAACCAAAGATTCTACTGCTACTAAGATTCTTAAATTAGGTAGTCTTTTTTATGATTAAATTTGCTTATTATCTATCTGCTTCTATTAGTTATATGAAATCAATGAGCTTTTATACATTATAAGGCTTTGCTACTATAATTAAGATTTTATAAATAATATTGCTATACTAATGATAAGCAATTTATACTTATTTACATAACAATAACTTTAGTTTTTACTAATAATACTTTACTATTGTTCTTAATAGAGCTTTATCTCAAGCTAAACCTAAATTAGTATTATTAAACTAGCTCTCAGACCCGGGCATTGCTCCAGGAGCTCAGTTTTAATTTTTTTTTATTTGAAGTTTTTTTAAATTTGTTTTTAATTTATTAGTATTTAAATTATTTTATATAATTTTATTGAAATATAATTTAATTATTAAGTTTATTAAATATTATTTTTTTTAATTTTTTAGCTCTCAGATTCAAGCATTGCTCTGGGAGCTAGTTTCAATTTTTTAGTTTTTAAAATAAATATTAGTTTTAGTTTTTTTAGCTCTCAGATCTAGGTATTGCTCCAGGAACTTGGTTTAACTTTTTTAATTTTAAGTATTTGTTAACTTTGATTGTTTATTTATTAGTATTTAAAGTAAATTATATAATTTTCAAAAATACAATTTAGTTATTAAGTTTATTAAATATTAGTTTTTTTAGTTTTTTAGCTCCCAGACCTGAGCATTGCTCTGGGCTTGGTTTTAATTTTTTTTTAGTTATTTAATTTATTAATATATAAAGTAAATTATATAATTTTTTAGAAATATAATTTAGTTATTAAGTTTATTAAATATTAGCTTTTTAGTTATCTAGCTCTCAAACCTGGATGTTGCTTCAGAGCTTATTTTTAATTTTTTCTATTTTTAAATTTTTTTATATTTTAATTTTATAGTTTTCTAGCCTTTGGACCTGAGTAATGCTCTAGGGCAGTATTGTATATTTTTGATATCTGAGCCTTTTAGAGTGTCTAGTAGACTATTCAACTTTTTATCAGACTTATAAATCCACTCTAAAAATATATACATATATGCAAAAAATAATTTTGAACAACTTTAATTAATAACTGAAGGTGGGTCACAATATATTATTTAAAGTTATTCAGTATCAAACTCTGACAAACTCTATCTGAGTGCTGTCTGAGTTGTCTGAGTGACAACACTACTCTAGGAGAACGTTCTTAATTTTTTTAATTTTTTTAAAGTAATAAAAATAGTTTTAAGGCATTAGTATTTTTTTATATTGTAGATTTTTAAATTAATATATATTATTAAAAATAACTTAATTATAATATTTATAGAAAGTATTATATAAAAACATTTATTAATATAAAAATATTAATTATAAATGCTTAAGATATATGCTATAAACTTTATTAAATTATAATATAATATTAAATCATAAATCTAAACCTAAGTCTAACTCTAAACCTACTTTAAATCTACTTTAAACCTATCTTAAATCTATCTTAAACTACTCTTTTACTCTAAATCTACTATAAATCTACCCTAAATCTAACTATGAACTCTAACTCTAAACCTAATTCTAACCCTAATTTGAGTTTAAATAAATCTAGTTTGGGTTTACATGAGCCTAGCTTAATTTAAATAAATCTAGCTTGGGTTTAAATAACCC